TGGAGAGCAAATGTTTTGAGAATGATGAGGGCAATGAATGTACAAATGTGCTTTACACAATTGATGTATGTATGGATTGTGATGAGTCCTTTAAGCTCCCAATAAAACGATTAAAAAAAAATTTCCCCCTAGTCTGTGGGTTCTCTATTGATGGAATCTCTTTAATGTGCCTGTGTCTAATTATTAGGAGGCCCCGGTCATCTAATTTGTAGTCTGCTGCTTGTGTGCTTTGTTATGTTTGAGAGTGTATTTATGCCAGATGTGTATGCCCCATTTTATTATGGACGATCTTTATAGTTCTAGGTTGTATATTTAGGTCTTTGAACCATCTTTTGTTTGTTTTTGTAAATGTTGTAAGATATAGATACATTTTTCTGCAAATTTCTGCAAGTTTGTAATTAATTATATCAGTACTACTTGTTAAAGAGACTATCTCTTCTTCATTTAATGGGGTTCAGTTCTTTGTCAAAGGCTGGCTGTCCATAGGAAGATGGATTTCCCTATGGGTTATCAAATCTGTTCCATTAGTCTATGTGTCTATCATTGTACCAGTACCACGAAGTCTTGGCTACCAAAGCTGTGTAGTATGTCTTGAGATTGGGAAGTGTAAAGCCTCCTATTTTGTTCTTTTTTAGTAGTGCATTACTTATCTGAGTCTTCATTCCTTTCCATATAAAATTAGTGGTAAGTTTCCATTTCTCTCCCTCTCCAGATAGATATATAGGTAGATTTGAATCTGGATCAGGATTGCATTATATCTGTAGATTATTTTGTGTAGCATTGACATTTTCATAATGTTGACTTCCTATCCATGATCATTGCATATTCTTCCATGTCTGTATATGCTTCTATCTTTCCATTCTGATTCCTTGGAGTAGTGCTTTGTCACTTTCTTTGTTCCTCTGGTTAGATTTATTCCTATGCATTTCACCTTTTGGTTGGCGATTATGGCAATACTTTTTTTACTCAGCCATTTACTGTAGCAAACAAAGAAAAAGATGACAGATGGTATTGAATCTAAAATGAATACTATCTTTCTCTTCTACTTTTTATTCTTGATAATGGAAGGGTAAAGACCACACCATTTTGGCAGTTTATAAAAGCCATATCTTTATTTTTATACACTGCCAAAAATGTCCATTTATTTCAGACCACCACAGTCTGAAATAAATGATTTTGCTTGGGTAACTAAAAATGCGTTTTTAATGTTCAGAACTAGTTTTCCAATGGAAAGATATCCCAATTTATAAGACACTACTTAGGTAATCAAAATCAAGTTAAATCAACTAATAAATACTATGAACCATTAAGAAGCATGTGATTTGGTTATGCAAAAACCACTATCAAATGAAATTGGAATGACCTCAACATAGGAAAAAATTTAAAAATAGTTAAGAGAACTATCTAAATATTGAATTGATGAGATTCTAAGAACAACCTATTACTGTCACTACATGCTACTACTGTCACTACATCTATAAGTCTAGTCTAAATTAGAAAACAGACCCAATAATAATTATGACACATTTTATCATAGCTTTTCTTGTCAGAGATATAAGTTTTGATCACTCAAAGGATTCGTCATGGATCCCAGTGGTTTTGTTATGCACAAGGTGCTGTTCAATTTTAAGCAGCCAAGAAATAAACCAGAATTCATTATATTTTTACAAGTGCTAAGGATTATAAAATTCCTTCTCTCATATTTAAGCTTTATGAGTGGAAAGATTCGTCTGATTTAGTCATAACTCCACCCTGGCATCTAGACCAGGGCCAGGCCTATGGTAGGTACTCCGTAAGTATGAATATTTTGAATAAATGTTCTAACAAACAGGCCTAACTGGGGAGTGGCTGTAAGTTAAGAAGACAGCTTTAGGGAGAGAAAAACACTCAATGTGTACACGCAAATGATTGTTGTCTACTAAAGCTGCCACACACACCAGGGATGTGAGTAAACTCCCTTATTTCCATTGCTTAAGATATGACAAAGTAATAATAATTTATAAATTATCAAGGGTGCATGAGGGAGGGAGAGTGGGGGGAGGGAGGGGAAAAATGAGGAGCTGATAGCAAGGACTCAAGTAGAAAGCAGATGTTTTGAGAATGATGATGGCAACAAATGTACCAATGTGCTTGACACAATGGATGTATGTATGGATTGTGATGAGTTATACGGGCCCCCAATAAAATTATTTTTTAACAAAAACCACTTTTGAAACTCTTCTCCTCGGATCCATATTTCTTTTAAAACAATAAGAAATTATTCCTGTTCACAGGAAACTGAATGGGAGGGCAGAGAGCCAACAAAATATGAGCGTTGCTTAAGAAGAAGGTCTTAAGATATGACAAAGTAATAATAATTTATAAATTATCAAGGGTGCATGAGGGAGGGAGGGAGAGTGGGGGGAGGGAGGGGAAAAATGAGAAGCTGATAGCAAGGGCTCAAGTAGAAAGCAGAAGCTTACCTGTTCTTATAGTCCGAGATCTATACAGTGGAGAATTAACCTTGAAATAATTATCACAGAAACTTTCCAAAGACTCTTTAAAAATATGGCTTTGATTATCTGTCGTTGTATATGAATGCATCAAGAACTGTGATTGTACGTGACTTATTACCATAAACCAAGTTTATAATAACAAATACATGAATCTACTTAAAGAGGGTCTTTAGATATTCTTCCTAATCTTGCATTTAATCTTGCAGAAACTCTGTTTTCTGAGTACCACTAATATATGTATATGTTTTTTAATCATAAAAACTAAGAGGGGCCTTCCTAGAGTTCTTGAAAAAGTTCACTATTTTTTAATTCCATTTTCTGGTTTTCCATTTTCTAGAAGTTTTGTGAAACCCTTCAATATCAGTTTTGCTGCTGGACATTTCAATTTTTAAAGAGGTATCTGAGATAATTTTTGTCTTTTAAAAAGGTTCATTGGCATATACTTCACATATCATACAATTCAATCATATCAAGAAGAGTTGTGCAATCATCAATCCAATTTCAGAACATTTCGTTCTCATTGTCATTGTTGTTAGCTCCCCACTTCCCCCAGCTCCTCTGCCATGCCCCTATGAAATTATTCATCCAACTATTATCTCTATAAATTTACCTATCCTCAATTTCATATACAGAAAACCATACAAAACACAAACAGGAAGCAAACAAACAATGACGACTAGACAAATAGAAACATCTCAATTGAAAGCAGAAAATGATAAATGATAAAAGTATTACACTTTAACCTAATTCAAATTCCAACTCACTGTCCTTGAGTGAATTCCAACTCAATGCAACCCTATGTAACTCTTTACAGGAGTAGGAAGCCTCATTTTTGTCCTGCAGAGCAACTAGTGGTTTTGAACTGCTGACCTTGTGATTAGCAGCCCAACTTGTAAACCACTATGCTACCAGGGGTTCTTTCTTAATATAACTACATTTGCCATAATTGATTTTACATCAGCTTTCTTCACCATATTTGCTTAGGCACCCACTTTGTCTTCAGCGATCATGTCAGGAAGGTGAGCATCATGGGATGCCAGTTTAAGAGAACAAAGTGTTTTTGCATTGAGGGAGTACTTGAGTGGAGGCCCAATGTCCATCTGCTAAACAAACTTACTCTTATCACCTTCAAAGTATTCTCCATTACACTTAATACATTTATCGAATCAGTGATCCCATTCTTGGAAACATTTTTTCAAACTCACCTGTTTGGATGGCTGATAGCACCTCCCTCGTTATTTTCTTCACTTCTACATCGTCAAATCGCTGTCCTTTTATGTCCCTCTTCATTTGCAGAAACAAAAAGAAGTCACATGGAACAAGGTATGGGGAGTAAGGTGCATGGGGCTAGAAAGGCATGCTATTTTTTGTCAAAAACTGGCACACTCAGATGGCTTTGTGAGCAGATACATTGTTGTAGTTGTAAAATCAATCCCCTGTCTGCCACAAATCAGGCCTTTTTTGTCGCACACTGTTGTGCAATTTTTTCAGGACCTCTAAATAGAAAGCTTGATTAACAGTCTGACCTGGTGGAAAGAACGCCGAATACACTATTGCTTGACATTTTCATCCCTTTGGGAAGTTGACAGAAATCCAGAAGAAGGTTTGTCATCAATCGACATTTCACCTTTTCTAAAATGAAAAAACCACTCGTACACTTGAGTTTTTCCCACAGCACTGTCCTTGTAAGCTATGTACAACATCACAAGTTTCTGTGGCATTTTTCTCAAGCAGGAAACAAAATTTCACGGTTTTCTTAAATCAGCCAGAAAAAAACCCCCCCAAAACCCAGTAAGGTTCAAGAGAAACTGCTTTTACCAAAAAATTCACTGTGACCAGCGAACCTTGCTAGATGACGCCACTGGGTGCGCTAACTCAGAGTGAGTTGCTGGATGCTCGCCTAGTGGAGAAAATGTGTACTGTAAAAACTCTGCTCCGCCCAGCAGTCCGGTTTTTTCGGATACCCCTTTGTACATCCTGTGTGTATTTTGTTGTTGTTAGGTGCCATTAAGTCAGTTCTGACAGCGACCCTCTGGACAACAGATCTAAACATGCTGGCTCTGGCACCATACTCACAATTGTTCCTATCTTTGAGCCCATTGTTGCAGACACTGTGTCAATCCACCTCACTGAGTGTCTTCCTTGTTGCTGATCCTCTATTTTACCAAGCATAATGTTCTCTCCAGAGACGTCCTTCATGAAAAGATGTCTAAAATACGTGACTTGAAGTGTAGCCAACTTCACTACTAAGGATCATTGTAGTTGTACTTCTTTCGATACATGTATTCGTTCTTCTAGTAGTCTATGGTTTATTTAATATTCTTTATAAACTCCAAAGGCATCAATTCTTTTTTTGAGTTGATTTTTTTCTTTTTGAATTTTATTATTTTTAAACCATTTTATTGGGGACTCATACAACTCTTACTACAATCCATATATATATATATATATATATATATATATATATATATATACATCGATTGTCAAGCACATTTGTACATTTGTTGCCATCACTTTCAAAACATTTGCTTTCCACTTGAGCCCTTGGTTATCAGCTCCTTTCCCAACCCCTCCCCACTCCCCCCTGAACCCTTGATAGTTTATAAATTATTTTGTCATATCCTACACCGTCTGACATTTCCCTTCACTCACTTTTCTGTTGTCCATTCCTCAGGGAGGAGGTTATATATATATATCCTTGCAATCACTTCCCCCTTTCCACTCTCCCCTCCTGGTTATCACCACACTCACCATTGGTCCTGAAAGGATCATCTGTCCTGGATTCCGTTTTCAGTTCCTATCTGTACCAGTGTACATCCTCTGGTCTAGCCAGATTTGTAAGGTAGAATTGGGATCATGATAGTGGGGGAGGAGGAAGCATTTAGGGAACTAGAGGAAAGTTGTATGTTTCATCGTTGCTACACTGCACCTGACTGGCTCGTCTCCTCCCCGCAACCCTTCCATAAGGGGATGTCTACTTGCCTCCAGATGGATCTTGGGTCCCCAATCTGTACTCCCTCTCATTCACACTAATAAGATTTTTTGTTCTTTGATGCCTGGTCCCTTCCGCACCTCGTGATCTCACAGACTGGTGTCAAAGGCATCAATTCTTCTTCAGTCTCCATGGTCGTTTTCACATACATATATGACAACTGAAAATACCATCCCTTGGGCCCAGCCAGCACTCCTTAGTTTTCAAAGTGACCTCTTTGGTTTATAACAGTTAAAAACGTCTTTTTGCAGATTAGCCTGGTGCAGGGTGCTATTTATTCTCCTGTCCACTGCTGCCGTGGTGGCGATTGTGGCTCCAAGTGAAACGAAACCCTTGACAAGTTCAAGCTTTTCCTCATCGTGCTTGTTGGTCATTGTGGGGTTTTAGGCTGGTGAGATGGGCTACTAACCACATCAGTTGTTTAAAACCACCAGCTGCTCCTCAGGAGCTACATGAGCTTTTCTGTTCCCATGAAGAGGTACAGCCCTGGAAGCCCACAGGGCAGTTCTGTTCTATTAGAGGGTCATTATGAGTTAGGATGGACTCACCAGCAGTGGGCTTGGCTTTATATTGCAGCATAATTCATAATGAAGGCTGATCATTATCAGTAAGTACTTCATCTTCTTGGATTTGAGCAAGCACATTGTGCCATCTGCATACTGCCGGTTAGGAGTCTTCCTCCAATCCTGATGTTGTGTACGTCTTCCATATCATCCAGCTTACTGGATCTGCTCAGCATACAGGTTGAATAAGTTTGGTAAACTGATACAATGCAGACATACACCTTTCCTGATTTTACACCACATAGTATTCCCTTGTTCTGTTCCATCGACTGCCTTTGGTCTATGGAGAGGTTCCCTGTATTCGGATGTAAATACAGACAAATTGGCACAGCTGTGTCTAAGAGACACTATGTGTACACATTATTCTGTTAATTCTATTAATCTTTGCTGGAGAGACAAATTTTGTGAACACATCTGTTCTTTTATACTACTGGGGCATTTGCTCCCTGTGGTGTTAATTTACTACATACTAAATTACAGAGACCGAAGTCAAATTTAATTATAACAAATTCCCTTAAGTAGCAGAAGTGAGAGGCACTAAGGATAAGGATAAGAAAAAAAGGCAGACAGACATAGGTGGCAATAGGGAAACAAAGGGCTTACAAGAGGGGCTGCCAATGTGTTCAAGGGAAAGTTTAAAGATACTGAATCTGCTTAAAATTTCTGTAGGAATCTCAACAACCCTAGTAATTTTAACTAATTGGGTTAAGAGAAACTATAAATCTATTAAAAAACTTACAATGAAATCAGTTCAGACTCCATCTTCTAAAAACAGGCGATGAAACCAAGTTATAGACAAGCAACTGAAGATATATACACGCTCGATGGGAAACTATCTTTCACATACCTCTTCAGTCTCACCTTTGATTGCTTCTCAAGCTGGATCTTCTTCAGGCTTGTTACTTGGGTAGGTAATTTGGGAGTCAGTAACTTAAGGGGAACCTTGGACCAACTGCTTCTCTCTCCTCTGTCCACAAATGGCACGAATCAGAAATTTCTACAAGACTTACCAGACATGCTTTGCATAGGTTAATTTTTAAAATGTTTTATTGTGAATTAGGTAAAGGTTTACAGATCAACAGTTTTGTATTCAAAAGTTCGTACTTATTTTATTTCAACTCATGCACTGCAGTTCCCTCATTGTACCATCCCTCTCACTTTGCCTGTCCTTGTCCTCCTTCTCTCCTAACCCTCTCAAGTTTGTCACTGGGTAAGCGTGCCCTTGATCTTAAAGGGTTATTTTCACCACAGTTCAGCTCTAGACCTGAAGGGTGCCTTACGGCCATGTTTCAAAGGTCCACCTGTCTCTACCATCAGTGAGCCTGGTCTCTTTTATGATCTTGAGTTTTGTTCTACATTTTTCTCCCACTCCACTCAGGACTTTTAACTGTAAACTCTTTCTGAGAAGTTGGTGAGTAGCAGCCAGGCATTACCCAGGTCTTCTGGCCCAGAGTTGTGGAGACTGATGATTGTGTTCCTTAGTCCACCGGCTAAATGTTTTCCTGCGTCCTTTGGTTTTGATCGCTTTTCTTTTCTCCGGACAGGACGAGAACAACAGTTGCATTTTAGATGGCTGTTCATGAGTTTTTAAGACTCCAGTGGCTACTCAGGCAAGTAGGATGTAGAACATTGTTTTTGTGAATTGTTATGCTAATAGACCTTAGTGACCCCCAAGATCCTGATCCTGATCCCCAGGTGCAATGACTCATTCCCTCAAGCACTCTGGTTATGTCTAAGAAGTATGTGCTGAGACAAGAACTGGATTAACAACTACCTAGGGGCATGGCAGGGGAGGTTGGGGCAAAATGAGGAGCTAACAACAATTAGTATAAGAAAGAAGGAAATATTTTAAAACTGGTCATGACTGCACAACTCTTCTTAATATGACTGAACTACTGAATTGTATGAAATATACAAATAAAATTATTAAAACGTTTCAATAAAGAAATAAAGTAGTGAACTGGAATGATATGATCATGGGAAGAATGTTTCCCTGAAAAAGGAACATCCATTTGGGTTTCAAATGGGTAAGGTGTAAATCTGTGTCATTTGGGGACCACGGCTATTTATTACTACAGTTCATGCTAACTAATAGACTTCTGTGCTTGAGTTTCCTCATTTAAGAGACCGAGGGTAACAGTGAGCATCTAGGAACATTTTGTTAAGTTTAAATGAACTGTTGTCTGTTAAAAGGGTAAAAAGAAAAAGCAGTCCTGTATATACTCGTGTATAAACCGAGTTTTTCAGCACATTTTTAAAGCAGTTTTTGTGGTAAAATTAGATGCCTCTCAAGTAGAAAGCAAATGTTTTGAGAATGATGATGGCAGCAAATGTACAAAATGTGCTTGACACAATGGATGGATGTATAGATTGTGATAAGAATTGTATGAGCCCCCAATAAAATTTTTAAAAAATTAGGTCCCTTGGCTGATATTCAGGTTGGTTTATACTTGAGTACAGACGGTATGCGGTTTTGCCTCCAGTGTGCTCCACCACATTCATGGCTATATTCACAGTAAAGATAAATACAAATGTCCTCTGTCACATCTATGTATGTTCGTGGTAAACTCCCCTCTTCCTCCCACACCTGCTCAGTCTGCATGTCCACTCAAGCAGCCGTAGTTGCAGCATGGTGTACAGGACAGTATTTACTGTTGTCTTTCACTCTTGCAAACCTCCCAATGTCTTGCCCTGCCTCCATCATTTTTCACATAAGCATATTTTTAAGATAATTATCCAAATCGTTAATTCTGTTATTATGAGATACTCCCACTGGTTCATCATATAGGCAATACTCTTATGGTGAAAGGTCGTTCTGTCATTTTTACCTTATGATTTGAATGTCTAGGAAATTCAAGATCAGTGAGAGAGAGCGAGAACCTGCTGCCTGGAAGGCCTCTGAAAATTATTCTGAGTCTGCGTCTCTGAACTTGACATCAGGGAAAGAGAGCAGTTAAAAATGGGTGATTTGTGGGTTTATGTGGGAGGACGTTAATTCTTTTCTTTCCAAAGTCACTCGCCAGAACTAAAGGAAACTGTTGCCACCTTATTTCCTACTATTTTCTACCAAAAAGCCACTTCCCAGGTTGAGGTAGTTTAGTCTAAAATCTATAAGCTCCCAAGGGTTTTTCCCCTCAAGTAATTCTTATATTCTACTTGTGAGAATAGGTTTTCTTAATGGGGCGAGGGGGGATTCAGATGTAATTGAAAGATATCAAGTTACCAAGAAACGTTAAGAGGAGAAAAGAATGCCAAACGTTGTTTCCTTTCCACACATCTCCACAGAATTTCAAGATAAGTTCCATATTTCTTATCAATGTTTGGTAATACCCTACTGACGAAAACTGCTCTTTGAAAATGAGGTCACGGCTTAAGTGACTTGGTGAAGTCATGGGCCGTGCTGCATGGCACCAAACAACTGCCCTCTGCGCACAGGATGGTGAACTTCCCAGGCATCTGACATCCTGAGAGTAGCTGGGCATCTATTTCCACAGACAAACCACTCATCCTGCAGCTATAAAGAAAGCTTTTCAGAGAGTTTCAAAGGAAACTTTCACGTTGAGGAATGTAGGCTTCTTGGTCATGTCTCACAAAAACAAATCTTGAAAATACTCATCAAATTCTTCTTCCCTATTAAAGAAAAAGATACACAGTGATTAAAATCAATGAGTTAAAAAAAAGTTACCAGGTGTCATATTATATGAGCTAACAAAAAGAATCAAAATATTCTAATCCACTGTATTAGTTGAATCCTCTATCAATATAGTTCCATGGTTCAGCTATCAAATAATGCTTAGCTTCTAGGTTAATCAGAATTACACCCACATTAAAATATTTGTTTGATAATATCCCTTCTTTGTTCGTTCTCATTTTGTACTACAACCTGAGCAAGAAATGGAGGAAAAAGGAACTAATTTATTTTAAATGAAAACACAAGCCTGACTCTTAGGAAAGGTGCTAGTGAGTGAGAAGGGCAAACTGAAGGCGATGGTTTTCTAGTACTCTGAGAAGAGCAAATACATCATATACTTACAACAGGAAACTTTATCTAAACCCAAGCGTGGGACTCTGAAAGCAGAGGTTATTGGATTCTAATGCACTGAGAAATGAAAAGCGTAAAGTACTAAGTGAATGTCAAAAAGCCTGGGTGAGCAGTGGCTAAACACTCAGTGGTTAACCCAAAAGTAGGTAGTTTGAACCCATTCAGCGGTTCCATGGCAGACAGGCCACTCCCCAAAAGATGCCAGCCTAGAAAAGTGAACGGGCAATTCTATTCTGTACTATGGGGCCACTGAGAATTGAAATGGGTTCGACAGCACCTAACAATATAAACACATGCTAACACCAGAAACCAGAGTGGTGCAGTGACAAGAGCACAGGCTGCCACGTCAGTTTCTGTGCTAGCTCTGGGACAAGCTGCTTGATGTCTCTGGTCCAGGTTCCTTATTTGGAAGGTGGCTTCCCTCACGCAGATGGAATGAATGCAATTTCTTTTCTTTCTTCTGGGACAAGGGGCTTGACCTGGACAGTCGAGTTGTGTAGCCTACCAGGGTTTTCAGACAATGTTCTTTTGGGTCAAGTGTTCAAAGTGAGACTCCATCTTTTGGTTTCCAACAACTGTGAAATGCATAAAGCCACCACAGCCATGCTCAACAAAGAAAAAATAGTCAATTATAGAATGAAATCAAATGGATTTAAAAATGATCTGTAATTTGGTTATTCCCTGTGCTACTGTCTCTTTTCATTATTACATCAGCAAAGTAGGACTTTAGAAATTATAGTAAGAACTCATGAAATTGGGTGGCTCTCTGTGTAATTTAGATGTTTAGTACTTAATGATGTCCAGTCTCTATGAGGCCACAAAGGTCTCAGATTATGAAAGCCTTCTTAGGACTCACTCATATACCTTTAATGCCTCATAAGGCAAGTTTACTTTTAAAACCTATTATGTTGTTTTTGCTATAAACCTTCTTCAAGAGGAAGTAATATAGTTGAGGAGCCTCATTTCATTATGACAGTAATTTTGTTATTTACATCAATAGCTACTTTATAGCCTGATCTATATGACAACACACTTCCTAATTCTTCTCTAGCTGAACAAAAAGATTAAAGTCCCAGAAAAGTTGACCTGAGGCATAAAAAAAGTAATCTTGGTGAAGACCTTTTTCCAACACATCTGAATTTTATTACACTAAGACCATATTGGTTTGCAAAATGTTTTATAATAAGCTTAAATTAATAAATTATGATTGATTCAACAGGTCTGGTAGGAATCAAGATGTCTAAGGAATTACAGGATGGGACTAAAATTCATTGAACCCTTCCTGTGGAATAGTATTATACCAGGTACTTTATATTGTTTAATTGAATATTCAAAAAACCCTGTGCTTGTTAATATTTTATCCTTTTTAAATAAATCTCAAGTGATGAGCATCCTAGTGTATGTCAAGAATGAATAACATTCAAGCTCGACCTAGATAGCATTTCCTCCTCCAGCTCCACAGCAGAGAGTAACCAGTTTTGTCTCTGGTAGAGAAGGTGGGTGTTGGCAAGTAAACTGCTACCCATACACAAGTCTTCAAGGAGCTTCACGATCACAGCCCTTCTCTGAAGGGGTCTGACAAGCACCACAAGGTCATCTGTTAAAGCCAGCTGTTGACAGACTTACTCAGCAAGAAGCAGCTGTTAAGCTGGCTGTTAACAGTTAACAAATGATGTCCTGGAATAAACTCTCATCTTACCAGGCCAGGTGGTCCCTACCATTAAATAGACATTCACCATGCTCAAGTTTTTCATTAACTGCTATCAAGAATTGCTGTGGTCACGGCTGCCTAAACAGATTTACAGAGTATACCTTATCCACTAGCATCAGGACTTACTGTGATTTTTCATCAGTCTCTGGGAGTGGGCCCTTCCAAAGTTCAGAATCTGAAGCACTTCCTTCTTCATCAGACTTTCCTATTTTAAAAAAATGTGAGTGCAACATTTAACATTTTTGAACTCCCCACCAATACAATTAACTTCAAAAATGACGGCAGTTTAGCTTCAACTTTTACAGTTCTCTGAAAATTTAACTCTCTCTCCAAGATGCCACAAATTCTTTTCAAAACGAATAAAATAAATCAGCTCAGAAGACAAAGGAGTCTCGGGGAAAAAAAGGTCAGGGATTTAAAGCCTTATAAGGGACTTCTCCAAGTTACACTGAGTTAAAGCAGCAACTCACGTCGGAGAATTCTCTCCGGTAATACCGTCTTTGAGTTCGTACTCCTCTTATCTGTCACACACAGAGCATGCAGGTTCAGAGTTTTGTAGAAAACATATTTACGTTAGGGTGAAGTCCTAAAGAACCAAACTGGTATGTAATTAATATACCTTACACTAATTAAAGAAGCCTATTTCAATGAAGAACAGTCTCACTTCTGTAAGCCTGTTTCTTGGGGGAGGGGGATCTAGTAATATGCATCCATTTAAATTTTACAGACTTTTTGCTAGCAATGCTACTTTTAAAGAAGTTATTTATTTAGAATAAGTACGTACGTACCTTGGATATATGTGAAAGATGCTTACTCAATACGAAAAGCATTAACAAGGGACAACCTAAATCCTTAATTATTACAGACTAGGGACCGGTTAAATGAACTCTATACAGCTGTTTTTTAAAAAAGCCTTAGAATATCTTTGAGGGGGCTTCAAAAAGTCCATGGAATTTCTCCATGAACGTTTTGAAGTCCGCTCGTATATAAACTGCCATGTGCAAGACAGCTATGATATGTCAACTTTATACAAAGTTACAGAACGTGCACACAGATTCCAAATTATGTAAAAATGTATCTGTGTACGTTTTTAAAGGTTTATGTGAAAATTCCATTATATTTTCATTCCATTTTTTACAATCTTTTTGAAAAGCCCCTAATATAAACACACACATACACACAATTTTGACATAAATTAGAATACACACAAATTTATATATGTATTCTGAATTTGTAAGAAACCAAACATACTTTGCAGTGATTCCATTACCTGTGGGTCTAGAAAAACACTTTTTTTTTCGATCTTAAACATTTCCAAACCGCTATATTTTAAGTAATGAGCATGAACTACCCTTAAAATCAGTAAAAATAAAGGTTCTTCCATTTTGAAAGCCCAACAAAATACACATATTTCACATGAATTGTCCTATATTAGTCAATCAAAAATTATACATAATATACTAACAAATGCATTGTGAAGCAAGAAGATAATTTTCCATAGAGTAATTACATTAGTAAATAATTAATTCCTCTCCACTAATGGCCATTAGGCTAAAAAGAAATGTGGTCTAACAAAACAGGATGTACTTAGGTTAAACAAAACACAAAAATAAAACGTCATTGATTTGCCACTGTGCTTCTAGCCTTTCATCTGTCAGACTTTGACCCTTGAGTCAACATGAATATCTGAACTTTGGTCTTAACTGAATCTATTCTGGTACAAATTTTAATGAAAATGGAAAAAAAATGGTGGTGGTGGGGTTATGTGATACTGCACTTTTAATAATCTATAGACAATAATGATAAACTATAGTCTTGGGAACAAAAGCTCCACTCAGTTCCCAGGCAGCACTCGAACTGAATATGTGAGTAGAAAAAAGTAACGTCCTTTCTCCTACAATAAAGAGCCCTGGTAGTACAACAGATTAAGCGACAGTCCCCGTGAACTCAAAGGTCCTTAGATCAAAGCCACCAGCCCCTCCCAGGGAGAGAGATGAGCAGTCTGCTCCTATAAAGGTTTACAGCACTGGAGACCCCTAGGAGCTTGCTCTACCCTGTCCTATTGGTGTTGCTACGAGTTGGAACTAACTTGATAAAAATGGGTTTATTTTATTTTATTCTTATGAGGGGGTTTCTTGTCTCTTAATTCCATTTTCCCACATTTTTTAAGTCCCCACATATTATTGAAACTGACCTAAATAAAGTACAGAGGGGAGGAGGGGGAAAGGAAGTACGGAAACACTAAATAGACCTAACAAAGTTTTTACTACAGTGCTACCCTATTAACAGTGTCAGAGAACAAACTAGAAGGCCTGAAAGTCAGCAGAGATGAGAAGACCCTGCTGCTCATTTCAAAGGTCTTTACACTTGTTCCCTCCCAAGAGTACTTCCCATGTGCCAGCTTGCCTCAACCAGTTTTCTGATACCAGACGCTCCAGGTTTACTAAAAACACTTAGAAGATAATGAAAGCATCCTTTCTAACCACACACAAAAAGTGGGCAAGTATCTGTGGAAAACAAAGCCTACAAGGTTAGACTAAATAACTTTAAGATACGACTTTATGAACCTGTGAAATCTTGCTTCCCTGAATGTAGTGGCTTCACTACAAATCACTTGTGATCATTGCTAGAACCTAACAGGGGCAGGAGAGGTGTTGTTGAGGAATAACAGCTGTTAGAAGGGACAGTGAGAAAGGTATAAGTCACTGACATTTTTGAGTTGGAAGGGAAACTGGGAGGTCATTTAATCCAACTCTTATCCAATGAATGAACAATTCGCTACTTCCTGAGAAAACTCACTCTTCTTTTCAAAATCTTTTAAAATTAAGGCAAAACACACCGCTTTATCCATAGACCTGTTCTGCCGACCAGAGCCCCCAAATACATGTATGTAGCAATCTTGCAAATATCTAAATTTCATAAAACCTCCCTCCTCCCTCCCATTTCGTCACTATTTCCAAGCTAAACACCCACAGCCCTCCCAACAGTCTTCCTATGACACAACTTGTTCCTCACGTGGCTGTTCTCTTGCTCTTCTTCCAAGTTTTCAATGTGCCTTCCGAGGGTGATGCCTAAAACTGAACACATCTGTCCCCAACTGGGCTGCTAAAGAACGGGTCCGAGGCTCTGATGATCATAATAAAAAGCAAACGGGCAGGCTTGTACGGACTAACATTTGACCAAGCCAGGTGCAATATAAGCAACATTCCCTACATCTTAATCCCTCGCCAATTTCCTTTTCCATCTTGATCTTAGCCAAAAGGCCGAGAAGCGATTTCCTTTTCCATCTTAAACTCACACTTAACATTCCATAATATAAAACTGAAATGCTTTCCATTATATTTACAGAAAAAAATGTACATATTTGGCTCTCTGTGCTTAAAATGTGGGAACCCTGGTGGTCTAGTAGTTACGTTTTGGGCTGGGATCTGATGGTCCGTACTTTGAAACCACCAGCAGCTCCAAGGGGAAAAGACTGGACTTTCTACTCCCCAAAGAGTCCCGGTCTTGGAAACCCAGAGGGGGTCGCTATGAGTCAGCACTGACTTGATGGCAGTGAGTTTGGTTGGCTTATGCTTAAAATAGGAAACTTTAAAATGGTCATAATTAGGGAATAAATCATATACTTTTGGTCTTCTATGATTCTTTTCACCTTATACGAAAACAATGTGATTAATGTACATAGAGCAATCCAAAATACAAATAACTTAATTTACATGTTTTATTAAGTAAATACTTAATACTTACTATTTATAGACTCTTCTGACTTTTTGGAGGATGAATGTCCTAAAAAGGAACAGCAGTATTATATTAAGAGTCATCTTCACCCATGTTTCTATATGAAAATAAAAATAATCTATAAATGATTAAGGGTTCACCAGGGTGTGAGGGTCATGGGGTAGGGGGAAAAAGAGGAGCTGATCCCAAGGGCTCAAGTAGAAAAGAAAATGCTTTGGAAATGATGATGGCAACATATGTATAAATGTGCTTGATACAATGGATGTATGGATTGTTATGAGTTGTAAGAGCCCCCAATTAAATGATTTATTAAATAAATAGTCTTGGAAACCCACAGGGGCAGTTCTACTCTGTCCTATGGGGTCACTATGAGTCAGAATTGACTCCAAAAAAAAAAGCATCTTGCTGCCATGCAACAATTGTGGCTGTCGTTTTTCTTCACTATTTTTATTTGCTTATAGTTTTTTGATCAACCAAGTTTCTAAGACTTAATGCCCCCTCAATTAAATTGTTAGATTCTTTTCATCATATCTGAATACATTCTCTCGTATGGCTTGGAATACTTAGTAAACGCCAAAACCAAACTCACTACCATTGAGTCCACTGCGACTCCCAGGGACCAGATGGGACAGGAAGAACTGCCCCTGTGAGTTTCCAAGATTGGAAAATTTTTTTAATCATTTTATTGGAGGCTCGTACAGCTCATCACAATCCATCCATCCATCGATCGTGTCAAGCACATTTGTACATTTGTTGCCATCATCATTCTCAAAACATTTGCTTTCTACTTGAGCCCTTGGTATCAGCTCTTCATTTTCCCCTCCCTCCTTGCTCCTTCTCCCTCATCAACCGTTGGTAATTTATAAATTATTATTATTTTGTCATGTTTCTTGACTATCTTCCATCCAGGTCTATACACTTCTGAAGGTGGTCCTTCCATCTTTAACTCCTCACTAAAGCGTTCTGTGCTCTTGGGTTGACTGCACATCAACAGGGCACTTTTGGTATCCCCAAAGGACTCAGATAGTGCTTTTCTTATGTTGAGTTTGGGAAACAAAAAGATGTGGGAAGTAATTAGGTCAGGGCTGTAGGATGGGTAGGTGGGGTCTCCCAGTCAAATTCTCGTAGGACAGCTCTTGCAAACTCCAAAGAATGAACTGGTACATTGTCAAGATGAAAGATAATTCCTTGGTATACTTTTCCTAGCCTTTCTCTTATGAATATAGCTTTCCATTTCCATAAAACATCCTTCTCTAGCCTTAGTGGCACAGTGGGTTATGAGTTGGGCTTTGACCTTGATGTTAGCAACTGGAAACCACCAGCTGTTCTGAGGGATGAAGATGAGACTTTCTACTCCCACAGAGCTCCAGTCTTGGAAACGCACAGGCAGTTCTGTAAAGTTCCTATGAATCCGAAAAGACTTGATGGCAGTGGGCTTCGTTTTTTTTTCAGTAAAATTCTTCCTAGTAAGCTCCATGATTGTCCTCTGTCCTTCAAGATTGGCCATTTGGAATCCTGAAAAATAGTCGCCATCCCTTCTGCGCTAACTTCTGCCTTGAATTTAACTGGCCCAGCAGATGCCCTGTTCTGACTGGCTTTTGTTTGTAAGGCTCAGACAAATGTATTATTGAGAGAACTTGTCTGATGTCACCCACTGATTCAGAGACATGTTCCAACATGTTTTGTTTGGAATAAAACCACTCATGTAAGAATTAGAACCCCTAAAGCAGTATTTTTTTAAAATTACCATGGTATAACCAATATTTTCTTTTATCTATACAGAAATTTAAGGAGCCCTACTGATATAGGGGTTATGTGCTGGGTTGCTAACCAAAAGTTACGACATTCAATCCCAACAGTCACTCCGTGAGAGATGAAGGTTCTGCTCCTGTAAAGATTTATCATCTCAGAAACCCAAAGGAGCACTTCTATGGTCTGTGTTGTGCAGGGCCGTTAGGTGTCTGAACCGACTGGACGGTAGTGAGTCTGGATTTTTGTTTTTAATAGAGATATTCAACATCTGAAAGTGGTTTGCAAATAAGTTTGCATAACACTCCAACGGCATATTAGACGGATGAGCATCAGTTCTTAGTAAATGAGTACCATTCATAAAATTATGTTCTAAAAGAAAAATTCTTAGAACTGCAGGGGTTATCAGTGAGAGAAAATGAAAAGTACTGAAGACCTACTCATGTAATTAAAAACAACAAAACCCTATAACTAGACAGTCTCCTGCACTACGTCCTCAAAAGCAAAAGAGAACAGTTAACAGACCACAAGGATAGTAAATTACTTCATGGGCCTCTTCTAGCCAATGTCTCTATAACTCCCAGCAAACCTTTTTTTCCTGCAATGGGTCTGGGTAAGTTGTTGAGGGACGACACTGATAGGATAGGTGTCGCCAATGCGTAATTGTTAACAGGATACATTGTGATTGCCATCCTGTTGTACACAAAATTCGCCCTCTGAGGAGGGGAGCTCAAGGCCAGCAAGGGCCAGCAGTGGAGCACATCCTCTGAACACCGAGATTCCTGCACAGCGAACCTCCTGGATCCAGAAGACAGAGGTGACATCTAAGGAGTGGCTGAGGAACAGCAGGAGAATCAGGAGCCAGAGCATACATAAGACAGAGTGGTGGCCTTCCCAACCCATCAAGCAAGTCAAGCGGAGTGCTTTTGGGCTGGAGGCTGACAATATAGGCAATTCTGGGCACTAATCAGGGAAGTTAGGTTTGCTGACCCATGGCAGTGGAGCTAAGTGCCTTCAGGCTGAGGCTTACTGGAGTGGGGTGCCTCTGGGCACTTAATTTATGGAGTTTTTGCTGAATGCTTTTAGGCTGAAGCTCATAGCCCGGAGTGGCATTTATTAGCAGCCCTGAAGGAACTTTCTAACTGTGCTGACTGAACATCTACATCCTGAATTTCTCACCTGTTTTGTAACCTGTTAACTTCCTTGCTAAACCCTCTAACCATTGAACATTGTGAATTCTGTGTGGCCACTGCAATGAATTATAGAATCTAGGTGAAAAAGTAGAGAATGCTCTTTAAGACAGAACACACAGATGGGGGAGTCACAATCCCCCCCCCCCAACCTTCCTGAATAGGTAGTCTTGTAAGCCAAAGCTGTCACATGAACTGCTTCTTTAAGGCCTGTATAAGTCCCACGTGATGCACACCATATCAACTCAGTTGCTAGGTTGCTAACCAAAAAGCTGGAGATTTGAGTCTACCCAGCTGTGTCTGGGAAGAAAGTCCAGGTTATATACTTCCCAAAAAATCAGCCATTGAGAATCTAATGGTGCAGAGTTTCACTCTGGCACAGACGATTACCATGCATGGAAATGAACTCCGTAACCAAAAAAAGTCTTATGCCGGTAGAGCTACAGTGTAAAAATATCAATGATAGTCAAGACCTGCATCGCAGCAAATCGTTTCTGGGTTTTTTTACTCTTAGTTATCGCTGGTCATCAGAGAGCAAATAATAAAATAGGTAAGCTTCAGGTGGCAACAAAAGGAATGTGGCTCTGTCACCCTCTTTTATGGGAAACAGGTAACTCTTTCCAAATATCCAAAGGTCAGTAGGTAAAGATGAGGGCCCAGCTTACTCTGGGAGAATTACAGTGTGTCCTTTCAATCAGGATTCCAGTGTGGGTCACCAAGTTTCCTCCCAATTGTGAAGCTGCAGCTGAGAGTGCACTGATCTACTGATTTATGGAGTAGAACAGAGAGCTCCCTCGGTGGAGCAAGCACTCGAGTAGGAATTGGAGATAAAAGAACTACACAAGTCACACAGGCCCTGCCCTCACAGAAAACAAATGATTGCAGGTGTGATATGGTTTCTAAAAGAGAAGGTACAAGGTGCTACAGAGATGTGTACTCAAGACTTAGCCTTGTCTGGAGTAGGGCAAAAGCTGTCCAGGAAGGCATTCCTGAGAAACTGATCTTAGCCGAAACCTCAAAGATGAGGTGGCCTTTGGGGAAGGGTGGTGGTGAAAGAGGTAAGATTTTGAACTCTTTGCCAAGACAATCTACGTAATTAAGTACCTTGTTCTGCCCATACATCCCAAAGTAGAATGGTCCTCAAAGTCATGTGATTTCTGATTTATTTTTATTTTTCTATCAATACATTTAACCATTTGTTTTTCCATCTATCGATCTGTTACATTTAGATTTGTCTAATGATGGTAAATGGAAGAGAAGTTCTAAGAGTGAGCCCCGGGAACTCTACCACCTCAGGGTCTGAGGACGGATAACATCCCAAAGAGCCTGCGCTCAGGTCAGAGAGCTAGAACCAAGTCTGCAGTTCAAATGTAGCTGAGGTGCCATGCCCGTATTAACTACTCTGCAAATTTAGGCCAAATTAAGGTGGGAAGTACAAGAGGGAATCCTACCAATATCAATCTAGTTCCAGATAATCCCAGAGATAATGTCAGAGTTCCAAAGGTTTTCCTAAAAGTTTGCTAATCTTTTATCATTTTATCAATTCATAATTGTGAGATGTAACACAGTAAACAGCTTTCTAGCACATAAAGATGAACAACGTTTTTAAATCAAATGAGATTTCCACATGAATTAAAGTGTATTTTAGAGTTGGGAAATGGCTAAAGTTGAAACAGGGCACTCTGCTTCAAACACCTTTCTCAATAAACAATAGAAAACAGGATCTTGCCCTCACAAGTTTGCAAAGATAAAAACTCTTATATGCTGGAATATTTTAATATTGACTATATAAACACAAGTTTATGGTGATATAAAAAAAGGTGGAAACATGCATGTATGAATACAAGATACCTACTTATCTTCATAGCTAGAGCAAGGGAGCCCTCTCTTGTCCAAGTATTATATTAACATTGGCCTAACTCTAATTCTATCTTGCATTCTCTACTTACTTAAGTCTGATGATCTATTGTTTACTTCTAATATATGCCAGAAAATTTGGGTCTACTTTATTATGGGGCCAAAAAACCCACTAGAAATAACCTTCATTCAACATAGTAAATATGTGCCCTGTATGATGCAAAATGTACTTACATGTAGGATCTTATCTCAACTTTTGAACAATTCGAAGGTAGAAACTATTGTTTCTTACACATGAAGATATTGATACTTAGTTAAAAAAGGCTGCTGAGAAAAAATAATTGATAGATTTGAATCACCTAATTATTTACTAAGTATGCGCACAGCATCATACTAGGTTCTGAGGACACAGACATACAAGGGGGCTTCAGGAAAGTTTGTGGGAAAATCCACTACTTTTTAATTTCATTTTTCACATATATTTTAGGCCCCGTAGCATATCAATCTCATTTCAAGAAGTTCATAAATTAGTATGAAAGTCATACTATCATTATAACTAAAATGATAGTATTATAATTTTATATTGACTTAAATAGACAATGTACTGTTTCACAGCGTTCAAAGTGCCTTTCGCATTTTTTGCTGATTCTTCTGAATGTGACTGGGTAGTAGAGAGAGCCTTACAGATGTGAGGAAAATAAAACTCAAGAAATTCAGTGACTTGCTCAAGGTCACAAGCCTGTAAATGGCAAAGCCAGAAATTAGAATCCTGTTTATATTATACTACCTGCCAAAGATGAATCAGGGGTAGCCTATTCTTAAAGCTCCTGTGGGTGCTGTTCTTGACTATCAAGCAGAGTAGAACTGCGCCATAACGCTTTCATGGCTGGGACCTTTTGGATGCAGACTGTCAGGTCAGTCTCCCAAAGTTTCGCTGGGTTCCAGCTTCTCTGGGTTTCAACTACCACCTTGTCCAGACTCTAGGAGTTGAGCATGAAGCTATATCTGAGCCTCGCAGGGATGCCTTTTAGCCCCCTTTGTGCCATGCAAATCCACATCAAGCTTTCCAACCACCATCTTTCAACTACTATAACACAAAATTTTAAATACATTCACCAATTAGATTTTAGATGGTAGACACATTCAAATTACATTTAAGGTTCATAAATAGAAGAGTGGATAGTGTATCTTAATTTCTATTTACCTTTATACTTTTGGGGGGAAGTTTCTTCTTCAGAAGATAGTCTAGATTTTTTATGGGATGACTCTTCACCACCTTTTTTGGTTTTACTCTTTCTGGTCTTTAATTTGACTTCCTTTTTCCTTTATGGAAGCAATATAAAATAAAAATTAACTTTTCAACTGATCTATACAAAAAATAAAACCGAATGAATAAAATAATAAAATCAGTGAAAGTACCCATCTTAAAATGTAATTTATATAATAAGATGCTCTTAAGGGCGTGTATAAATATTTTAGGTAAGTATATTCATTTTTTTCAGTTGTTTCATCACTCATTCATTTAATTAATCAATCATTTTATTAGGAGCTCTTATAGCTCTTCTAACCATAGATATATCAATTGTATCAAGCACATTCATACATATGTTGCCATCATCATTTTCCAAACATTTTCTTTCTCCTTAAGCCCTTGGTATTAGTTACCCTTCCCCCACCTCCCCAGCCCTCCCACCCTCATGGACCCCCGATAAATTCTAAGTTTTTATCTCATGTCTTACACTGTCCACTGTCTCCCTTCACCCACAGTTCTATTATTTGTCCCCTTGGGAGGGGGTTTTATACATTGATAATTGTAGTCGGTCCCCGTTTCTCCCCCTTCTCCCACCTCCCACCCACCCTCATGGTATTGCTACTCCCATTACTGTTCCTGAGGGGTTTATCTTTCCTGGATTCTGTATGTCAAGAGCTATTATCTTTGTACATGCTCCAGTCTAGCCGGATTTGTAAGGTAGAACTGGGGTCATGATAGTGGGGGAGAGGAAGCATTAAAGAACTAGAGGACTGTTGTGTGTCCCGTCGGTGCATTGCTGCATCCTGACTCTTTCCTTCCTGTGACCTTTCTGTGAGGGGATGTTCAATTGCCTACAGATGGGCTTTGGGTCTCCATTCTGACCCCCATCATTTGCATCAATATGGTTATTTGCTTTAGGTCTTCTGATGCCTGATACCTGATCCCAACACCTTGTGATAACACAGGCTGGTGTGCTTCTTCCATGTGGGCTGTATTGCTTCCCTGCTAGAGGGCCACTTGTTTAACTTCAAGCCTTTAAGACCCCAGATGCTGTCTCTTTTAATAGCTGGGAACCATCACCTTTATCACCACATTTGCTTATGCACCCATTTTGACTTCAGCGATTGTGTCAGGAAGATGAACATCACAAAATTCCAGGTTATTAGAACAAAGTTTCCTTGTGTTGAGGGAGTACTTGAGTAGAGACCTAGTGCTGGTCTGCTACCTTAATATTTAACATTTAAACATATGTATACAGATCTATATCCCTATTAGTATATTAACATCTATGCATGCCTATATTTATACCTCTATCAATATCTTTTGCCTCCTTGTTCTTTCCTCTGTTTCTTTTTACTTTCCTCCTATCCCACTATCATGTTTGACCTTCATTTGACTCTTAGTACTTTCTCTTGGCTAAAAAAAAAGAAGATAATTCTAAGGGATAATAAAGCCTGAAAGTTCTGAGACAAAGCAGTTCTGTATACAACCTAAATAAGTGCAAATCAAAGTTCTACTCATGTCCTTTTCATATTGGATCATTGTGGAAAAATTCGAAGATATTTTAATTCCATTCTTCCATGAACTTTTGAAGCCCCCTTATATAACCAACTTTTTCTCAGTTCAAGAACCATGCACTAGTCTGACAGCTATATAAATCATTATAACTAAAACTTAAAAGAAATTTCAAAGAAAATTACAAAAACAAATTTCATTTCATCTGCATAATTCTTATCAGAACAGGAAGCAAGTACTGTAACAGCTCTAAAGCACAGTAAATGGGAAATTCTTTTCTTAAGAGCAAAAGAATATAGTCAAAACTTAAGGAATGAGGATGGAAGGGGCTTTTTGTAAACTCATATGTCTACTCTAGATCATTTACTTTCTTCCTGCAATAGCTTTATCATATCTAGGTTTATCACCATACCAAGTTCATAAAGTTGTCAGTATCATGATGGACACATCCTTTTAACTGATTAAAAAAGAAATAAAAGTAGGAAAAAGCTAAAAATAAAACTGAGAAAGAGCACAAGGAACGAGAGAAGAAAATTACTTTCCAGAAACTTGTTTATCAGATATTCTAAATTAAGGCCTTCAGTGACAGATGCTACAATACTATTTTCTGCCTCTTCCATAAAAGTCATTTCAATTTTGAAATAAAGCTAAAAAAAAAATCAAGGCCCCCAAATGTCTCTCGTTTCTTTCAGTGTCATTAACGAATAGTAGGAACAGAGGTTCAGGTTATTCATGTAATCTAAAATATCCCAATTTTAAAAGTGAAAAATGATAAGCTATTTAATATTTATGAGCTAAATGGTTAGGCAGAGCACATTTACAATAGAGCTGACTATAAAATTAATATGCTTCTATACATATTTTACAAAGCCACAGAATATCATTATTACTTTAAACTGTTATTCAGAGCACATAACTTACTACCACCATACAACCATGTTAGGTCACAAACACTTTGTCCATGTTTTAATATGAGAAAAACCAGAGTTTTATTTACCTTGTACCAAGTGCAGTGTAAGTACACTCTATGCACTTTCATTTAATCCTCACAGATGACAAAACTCAATCAATCCAAATTAAGCAGTTTACCTAAAAAAATCTAGGAAGTAGAGCAGCTGAGAGTAATACTTAAGGCTGTATGATTTCAAAACCCATGAACTTATCATCCAGTTCTGAAAACCGCAATCATGGTACCCTGGCCCACTCAGTATGGCAGATACATTCACTAAGCGCTTGTTTTTAATGTTTGGAATGAATGTTCAAAACAAAAACCCTGATGCTGTCAAGTGGATCTCTACACAAGAGTATAATACTTTATAGAATGATTAAAGCCCAATTCAAACACTTTAAACGAGACAGAAGAACTACATTATGAAGATATAGTTTCTAAGGATCTCCTCTGATCTAAATACTGGCTGCAAATTAAAACTTGTAATACCCACTTGCCACCCTGTCTAGGCCTTCACATTTAAAACAGCTTGCCTGAAACAGCAGGGTATGGTGAACTTCCAGTTTACACAGTCATACAGAAATGCCTGGTACTCTCCACGATCAAATAATTCACCCATCAGCCACCTAAGGCTACATTTAGACACTCAGTGAAAGTAAATTGCTATTTCCAAGACTACTAGATATTCAAAATGATATTTTAAGAAAAAATATTACCTGTGGTGAAAATTTAATTTAAAGGAACAGTCTTGGCATAACCCTAAAAAAAAAAAAAAGATACTGCTGAATTTCTTAGTGCACTGCTACTCTTAACAAAAATTTTCATTTTCCTTAAAGAGATAAAACAAATAACATGATTTCAAAGACAGTAGTCTGATCTATCTAAAATACATTTACATATACAATAACAATATTAGAAAGAGTGAGAAAGTGTACTGACAACTGATGGTAAAATAAAAACAAATGGTGTTCCAGAGACAGCATTAACGTGGGCTTCGCGTCAGAGACATCCATCAGTAACAACGTGGCCACAGCCACTTCCTCTCAAGTCCTCTCTGAGTGCTCACAGGAAAAGAGCTTTCAGTTCCCCAAGTGTAACCTCTCTTTCCCCCAGTATTTTTAATCTTGCATTGGAGAGGCTAAATTGCAGGTGTGGGAATTCTTGAAATATACCTAACATGGGCAGAAAACTCTGAAGGTACATCTACTTATGACCCAAAGTGGGCCATCATTCACATGACGAGCAGGAGGGGGCGGGGGGCAGACAGTGAAATCAAGACTAGTTAAAAGAGAAAAGAAAAAAAGGAAAAACAACAACAACAAAAACCATGAACTGACAGATTCTATAATATGCATAAAGGAAACTGCTGTATTCTAGGGTATATCCCTACGCTTTTAAGACTATAAAAACAATTAGGCCCTCCAAAATTTCTCTTTCTGCATAGTGTCAAAAGAGTGTATTTACTTGTTATCCACATCACAACAATATGGCTAAGTAATCCAGTAATTCGATGGGCACACCCCTTTTTGATCCTCTGCATCCTAATTTGATGGCATTCTTAAGTAAATGAAAAGAGACTTTTACCAATTACCACCTTATACTTTGTATAGGAATTGCTGCACCTAAATATCACCATAATGCTAAGAATATAGATGTTTAAGCTAAAGCATTCTTGAGATTTTAGGAAGCTTGGGAGAAAAGAGAAACTTCCAGAAGACACTTTAGAATTTTGAACTACATTTTAGAGATACATATTTTTCATACGAAATGAGAAGTTAAGCTTCGGAGAGCTCAATCGAACCCCACCTAACATCAACTTACTTAATTTCACAAGTGCATTCCTCTTCTCACCCTGCTCCATGTAACCAAAATTCACTTCCCAACTCTTTAAGCCTTCTTTCGCATCACAGCATTTATTTCCACAGAAAAACTGACCTGCAAAAAGGGCAAGGAATGTTAGCTATCCTAGTTAGTGCCAATATTTATCTCTATAATCTGGTACTCTTGATATTTTACTGCTAAAATATGTAATTTCTTAGCTTTATTAATATGGTTTGAAAACTACTGACCATAGTAATTACAGCATGCTCAATAAAACTATATACGAGTATTAAATAAAAAAGCTGAACTAAAACAAAGTAGTCACATGACTCTTACATGATGGGTGGATGATTTATATTCAAACACAGAGTGTTAGTGACTGCTCTGAGGGCCCTTCACCTTGAAAGATGCGAACCCTAAGGAGTACATTCACTAAAATACTGAGAGAATTAATACATTTCCAAAGTACATCCACTTAAATCTGGGTAAATTCATTTTAATATTTAACAATATTATTAAAGTTGGTATCTTTCAGTACTTATAGCATAATGGCATCTATTTTAAGTACTAGCATAAATGTCAACTAAAACACATTTCCAATTTCTATTACTTTGACTCGACATACATAATAAATAGACAAATCTGATGCTCTAAATATAAGAATCAGTTCATAGAAAACAATACACCATCATGTCCATTTATAATCTTTTTTTTAAAGATGAACACTGATGATCCAAAATTTAAAAACTACCCAACAATAAGTATATACTTAGAGAAAAGAAAGCAAAATTACATTTTTATATATATTCCAAAACACAATTAATATCACTAAGTATTATCCAAAAAGAGCAAATCTGAAACCTGCATATCCTTTTCACAGAAAATTTTAAAATTATCAAAACAAAAAAAAAAGGCAACAGGCCCAGATAGTTTTATAGGCAAGTTTCACAAAGTCTTCAGGGAAGGACTATCTCACATAAATCATTTGAAGCAAACTTGATTGTATGTCTGCTGATGATAGTCATACAGAGGAACAAATTATTTCTAACCATTTTAAAACTGAGTACATTGACTGTATATTCATACTGAAGTTTTGTCTAAAGGTGTGGGGGGGAGACTGCAGAGAAATCTTAAATACTCTGTATTACTAGTTTCAAAATTAAGAGAAAAAAAAATTTTGTGTTACTAGTTACCAAGACTCTGAGGATGAGGATCATAGACTTATATATAAGTATATAATAAAATGTATATAATTATACATCTCTATAACAAAGTGTATCGTTTTTTAAAGCTATAAATATATAATAAAATAAAGTATGAAACCATGACATCAATTTGAAGTGGGTATTTTAGTACAAACTCTGACTTACTTTTCTCCGACTATAAAATCCTTACCTCCAAGCCCTAGTCACCAAAAAGTCAAAGATGCACAAACACCCAGTAGCAATAACTATTCCTAATTCACAGCCCATATCCACTAATCACCATTTGTCACTACAGTCACCTTAGAAAAGTGACTAAGTTAGTTCAGTGGCAGAAGCTGTCAGCAGCTGACCCTAGCTCATCTAGTGGTGTCATAAAGAGAGGACATTATCCAAATCTATAGAGACAACGCCAAAAGAATGGTCAACTGACGCTGACCATTATGAGCATTAAAAGAATTAACAGCAATGGGCTGAAATACATCAAATTATATAAAAATACACAATGACAGTTTTTAAAATGCACTTTTTATCCTCAGAAACACCCAATTCACCATTCCCAAGATTGAAAAAGAATCATTTGTCCTTGGTGAGTTTCCTTGCTATCAAATTTTTAACACTTTAAACATCTCCTACATAGTCTCAATCAAATGTTCTAAAGGCAAAAAAATTCTGTAAACATCATGAAAATATTATATCCTGAGCTGTGCTAATATATCATAAACACATGGGTAGATAACCATTCATTATGCAAACCAAGGAATCACCTTACTGAATTTCAATTTGATAATATAAAAAATAACCTGTACCCTGTTAAGGAGAAAACAATAAATAATTACCTTTCCCTGAAATTACTTCTTTTTCTACACGCCACCTAAATCCAAACTGATGAGAAAAACAATAAAAATATATATTTTATGCCAAAATACAAACACATTTTATGCCCCCCAAATGAAATAGTACATACAAAATTGTATCTAAGTCTAAAATGGAGCCGATATTTGATACAGTGAGATTTACAAGCCTAAGTAAACTCAATTTACAAACCCATCATGGTAGCTTTTTCTCCTCCAACAAGTGTGGAAAAACATTAATTTATCTATTGAGGGACCATCTTCTTTACTTTCAAACTACCTTAAAAGTTATAGACACCAGGTTGCAATATACTCAAATAAATTCTCAATGGTAAAAGAGAAAATGCAGCTGAGAAAAGAATGGGATTGTAGAACAAAGGCAGGAATTCATTAAAAATGCCCAGTGTACCTTCTATCATATCTACACTATGCAAAGAGCTAGGAGCTAGTTAATTAAAAATAAATGCAATACTCTTTGGTGGGTGTAAATATTTTAAAAAATATCCATCCTAGCAAGGGAGTCAAAAGCACTACTTCACCTTTCTCCAGCACCTCCAACCCGGTGTGCCCAAAGCAAAGACATTCTCTTCCCCACAAAATAGACCCACCTCCATATTCTCTACTTCTCTCAATACTAACTCAGACCTGTGAATCATCTTATTTCTTCCTTGCACGCACCCTCATCTTTAATCACTCATTGTGTTCTAATAAGAAAATATCATTTGCTACAAGATTATATTCTTTAAAGTATGATTTCCAGTAATATATTGGGACTTTTAAAAATGAAAACCAAAAAAATAAAATTTTTGATTCATGTATTTTTTTCTCCCCTCAACTAGATTAGCAGAAATTATCCATTAATCTATAAAACCCAGCTCTCCTTAAATACTGAAAAAGAATCAGCAGATGAGCCAAGGTTGAAAAAGCGGCTTTGTTACATACCCCTAGACTTGCAGTGTTTCCAGAAGTGTTCCCGTGCCGCCCCCTGGGGAGGGCACTGGAGCGATCCAGCGGGGCTGCAAAAGCAGATAACTACACTTTTGGCCTGGACTGTGAGTTCTTAATTGTCCGGGAGCACTGAGTAATTTCATTGCTAAAAAGGGGACAGCAGGCCAAATGCGTCTGGGAACCTCCACCTGGAGGGACCTAGTGTTTCACACGCAAGTGTTGTAATCTCCAGGAACGCCAATCAAGGTAGTGCTTTGTGGGCTAGGTATGGTAAGTAACTAGGAGAGAGGGGAGCTGAAAGCCGGAGTCCACAGCCAACTGGTAAGAAACCGAGTACGTGTTTGAGACACACCAAGTGCATGCATTTTTTAAAGCCTGAGATACAAAGTGCATAGTATGTTGTCCGTAAGATAATGCAAAATAATACATGTACTAGATATCACTGAAAAAATAATTAAAACGAGATTTGATTTTTATTTTAAACGAGATTTGATTTAACTGTTTAAACAAAAATGAAATTTTATGATATATATAAGGGGGCTTCAAAAAATTCCTAGAAAAAGGAAAGAAAAGGATATGGAATTTCTCCACAAACTTTTTTTAGGCCCTTCATATAGCTCAGATAGCTTTCTTACATACACACACACACATACACACACACACACACACACATACACACACACACACACACACACACATAGAGCTTTCCTAATATATACACTATCCATAACATATATATTTATGTAACATTCCCTCTGCCTTATTTCCAAATGTAATAGTCTGTTTGTTCTTGGGTTACCTTCTCCAGCTACAAATTTGATAGTGGAGCTAAGAATAAAAAACAACTTTAACTAGAATAAAATAAAGAAACAAAGGAAATCTACCATTCATAATTAACAGTGTTAACTCTACTGATATGAGGGCTTCAAAATATCTATAGAAAAATCCATTATATTTTAATTCCTTGATTCTAAGCACTTTTGAAGCCCCTCCTATTGATGTCAAAGAAGATGGACAAGTATGTATCTGCCACTTGATACATGGTAATCAAGTTGGAAAAAAACCCAAGTTCAAACATCTGTGAAAAAATAATGGCATCATTCTGCTATATCCAATCATTCATTGTAATCTCTCAGAAGAGCTGCACTAGAGTCAGCATGCAGCAGGATCCAGCAGCCACTTGTGTTTAATTTTAGACTTTGCATGCCTCAGCTCCCAAAGACGCATCCTTGTCCACAGGGCCCTTTTCTAAAGTTCACAGATGCAGAGGCTCATGGTCCAAATGCAATCCACAGGTGCAAAGCAGCTGGGATTCGCTTCTTTCAGAGAATAATGTTGAACATGATAGTGTACTAAAAATTAATATTGTTTTTGAATAATAATTTCTTTATAAATATATTTTGAAAGCGTACCTTATTTTCTTTGTATCTACTGAGATCTGCTATGCAGTATTCCTTGAATAATTTATCATAGTATTTTTTTGCAAGTCTCTTCTCCCTAGAGCCGCAAAATTATAAATGTTACACAGTAAGAAACCCAACCAGTTTGCAACCTAGAAGCGATGCTAAATAAGTAACAAAAACGATATAAACACTAATGTTCTTTTGTTTCCCCAAAGGCCCATTACTTATATTTACATAGAATACCCAGATATTAACTATTAAAAGTGCTTCTCTAAGAAAACACATCACATTAAGGACAAGCTGTGTTTGACCCAAGCCAGGGTATTTCAATTGCTCATAAGTATGCAAAAGCTGGATAGTGAATAAGGAAAACTGAAGTAAAAGGGATGTGTTTTTGAATTATGGTGTTGTGAAAGAATATTAAATATGCCACAAACTGCCAGAGAAACAAACAAGCAAACTGTCTTGGAAGAAATAGTCAGAATGCTCCTTAAAAGTGAATGGAGAGGCTTCCTTTGCCTCCTGTACTTTGGACATATTCTCAGGATGGCCTAATCCCTGGAGAAAGACAGCATGCTGGTAAATTAGAGGGCCAACCCTCAGTGGGCTCTAACAATTGTGCGGGTGGCACAGGACCCAGCAGGGCTGCACTCAGCAGAGCAGAGATGACTCTGAACACTCCACGCCCCCAACAAACCCAGCACAGGAGAGAAAAGGGAGGACTGAGAGTCAGGTGAGAGAAAGCCTTACATAACTCTGCTTTCCGTCCTTTGTACGATTAGGATTGTAAAACCACTGTAAAGCATGAGTGGTCCTCAAAATAGTTTTCCAATTTTGAGAGGCATAGAGTAGCATTATTCCTATGGGGCAACACACAGTGGAACCTGGGAGAGCCAGAACCAAGCAAGACTGCCTGGTTTTTCTGGGTCTCACAAGTTTTCTGCCTAAGAAAGGGTTCACTTTCCTATAGCTCATTTTAGTGAGAAAATACGTGAGGTTTCTTTGACTGACAAATTTCCACCTTATATAGGTTCTGGCTTTTGGAGCTTTTACTGTACAATCTTGCTTGTAAAAAGTGATAAATTACTTCTTATAGGCAAAGTCAAGCAATGAGAAATCAGTTAAAATGCCAAGAACGGCCCAAGTCAACCAAGCCAGGTTCACTACTCAGGCATGGTTAATTCAGATGTGTCCTCTGAAAAGGCTGACTGCCCTAGATAAATGACAAACGGTCGATACACTGGAGAACAGAGATGGGACGCAAGCATCTGGTGCAGAACCCCTCTGGTGGTTAAAATTACCAAGTCATGTCCATTTCATCCTCCGCGTTCCATAGGAATCTATGGTTTTCTCGAATAACATCCAAGTCCGTCTTGTCATTTTCCCTGGGAAATTATTTAAATTCAATAAAAAACAAAATTAGTCAACTTTAGCAATTTAAAAGGTTCTGTAATTAAAACAGAGACTTTATTATTAATTGGGAGTTAATATATAAGCCATATCATGCCATAGTTCAATCATGCCAAGAAGAATTGTACAATTGCTACCACAATCAGTTTCCAAACATTCTTTTTCTTCCTTGACATTGTCTTCCTCTGAAACTTTGGACAATTTGAGTAAATAGATAATACATGAAAGTAAACATAATTAGAAGTATGTATGCATACAGTTATAGGAGTATATGCATGTACATACAAAGGAACTCCAAAAAGGTTTTGGAAAAATGGAATTAAGAAGATGATGGTGTTTTCCCATGACCTTTGTGAAGTTCCCCCTATAATAAAACTATTTCAGTAATTTCAAAAGCCACGTACAAAAGGTGCTGCCATGGAAGCAAGACAAATCGATACAGAATCCCTCTGTCTCTAACACTGACTTCAGTTATACAAATGGTGCTAAGTTACCCTGGTTAGGATGAGAAACCTGAATAAGCACTAAATGAAAGGGCAAGGTGGAGAAAAGTTAGTTTCAGGACCTAATCAAAAGTCTGACATCAGGCATACTGCTCTCTGTTGAGACTATTTTTTAAAAAACAAGAAAAATAGTCACACTTCATTTTGCCACAGCTCCCTAGCTATGCAGCATAAGCTAGGCAGGCAGTGAGAGGAGTGGACCTGACAGTTTGAGGATAGGACAGGAGTCACTGAGGAATGTAGGCTAAATTGACAGAGGAGATATAGTCTATTAAGGCCTTGTACTCTCAGAAAATGGGCCATGCAAACCCAGCAGGTGCTGACAGAAGACCCTCAAATGTAGGGTGGAAAATTCATGTCTGAGAAAACACTGGAGTGAGGTTTCCAACAATGTCCTTTGGTCAACAATCCCACACATTAAGTCCTAAAAAGTTCAGGATCTCAAATTCCCTTGCAGAAAAAATTGCTGCATACCGTTTCCCCGAAAATAAGACAGTGTCTTATATTAATTTTTGCTCCCAAAGATGCGCTGGTCTTATTTTCAGGGGATGTCTTATTTTTCCATGAAAAAGAATATGGTACACATTTATTGTTTGTTGTTTTATTAAAAGAGACCTCACACTTCCTGTCTGCTGCGGCCAACAGTGAGCTGTGCCCGCCACTATGGTCCAAAGTCCAGAGTTACGGTAGCTTCGGGGGGGCTTATTTTCGGGGGGATGCCTTATATTTCAGCAAGAGGCAAAACTGTAAGAAGATCTTCTTTTCAGGGGATGTCTTACTTTCAGGGAAACAGGGTAGTTAATTGAAGGCTGAGGATAGCACCTCCACTTTCTGACAACATAAGGAAAATAGACTAGAAAGCCAGGGAGAGCTGGCGAATCAGAAAACACATTAGCTGTAGGCCTTGAGTTATGTCATCCATATATTTTTCCTGCCCTCATTCTTTGTAAATTTCATACTTACCCTACACGCCTGAAATCTTCTTTTTTGCCACCATAGTATAAAATATAATCATTAACAAACTTTCTGTGTCTTTGATACTGAAACACAAAACATTAAGGATTTTATACATTCAGGAGATGTGCTGTGTTATGATCTATCACAGAAAGAAAAAAATAGAGCATGAGTTCCATTGTTTTTAAAAATTATGCATGCTTATACATATGGGGGAAAATACTGATGCATTTGAATTGAGGTGTAGGCAAAGAATTCTGAATATACTGTGGACTTCCAGAATGATCAGTCTTAGAAGAAATAAAACCAGAATGCTCCTTAGAAGATGGTGAGACTCCACCTGTTTTACTTGGGACACCTCATCAGGAATAACTAGTGGCACGAAAAGCAGATGGAGAAGCAAACATGAGAGCAGCCCTCACTAAGATGGAATCAGTGTCACCAGCAGCCTCAAACATAGTAGTGGTCATGAAGGTGGCCCACGACCAGGCAATGCTGTGTTTTGTTAGACATGCAGTTAACGCAAGGGCAACCACCAACAAAGGATGCCAGAGGGACAGACAGATCGCCCAGTGGACAAAACCGAGAACTCAGACATAGATTCGCGCAAGTACTATACTTGCATGCTCATTTTTGTTAGCAGGTGAGATGCAATTTAATAGAAGGAAAAATAGACTTTTCAACAAACAGTGCAGGAGCAATTGGATATCTACAGGCCACGAGAAGATAAAAATCATCTCCAACTAAGTCTAATATTATTCAAAATTTTACTCAAAATGGATCACTTTTAGAAAACAAATAACAGGAGAGAATCTTTGGGATGAGGTATAGCTTGGCCAGGGTTCTGAGACCCGATGCCAAAGCGGCATCCATAAAAGGAACAGCAGGCATGGGGCAGGCCACTGATCTATCTTAAACACAAACTTTACAAAGACCTTAAACAGCCAAGAACCAGGTAGGAAGAGGGCAAAAGTGAAAATGAGACTACAGGTAAATATAGAAGAGGGCAATGGGGAGGGCTTGGCAAAAACAGGTTGGATAAATATCTGCAGGCTCAAGGACTTTGTAAGCCTATTAATATAGCATGAGGAGGATGTTGCATTACTTTTTTCCTCCTCCTATCTTTCTATGAGAGAATTGTAATCTAAAGTATACATGGTGATATGCTTTATCAATAAGCACTTATGTTGAGAAATAAAATGTAAATGGTCTACTTGACTTCACAGAGATGCCGTATATAGGAAAGTAGAGTTTACAGTAGCCCACTTGCTATACAAATCTAGCAATATCAAAAAGGATACAGCATCCATAGCTATGAGATGAAACCTCCTATTTCTGGCTTCTTCCCTGTTAAAACAAACGTTAATCATATTTCAGTATCAATATTCAACTATGAAATTAAGTCCCCACACCCTGGCATTGACAGCGCCAGCTTCAACAAGGGATCTAACGTACATTAAGATGCCATACCTGTCCAGCAATTCTGCTGCAACCTGTTTATGTGCCACCTTTCCATGCTTTTCTTTCTGAAACGGCTTTTCGAGCAGTAAGTCATCTTCAACTGTCCTGGTTTATTAAGAAGAAAAAAAAATAGTAAAAGAGTTCCAATAGCCCACCCCACCCCCACCACCCAAAAAAGGAGTAGTGTTTCCTGATTCTTTATAATTTTCCAAAATGGAACATGTTTTAAGGAATTCGAGTCTTAGCTCAAAGATCAGACTCACTGGTCCTGCATAAAAACAATCAATACCTTAATTTTATTTAATATCTACAAAATGGAAAAGATAATACTAACAAAAGCCCGGGTTCTGGGCTCCTGGGTTCAAATTTTTGCTTTACAGTTTACTCCCTATGCAAACTTGATGTGCCGCAATGCCCTTCTTAGTAAAGTACAGAAACTACAGCTTTTGATAACTGATAATTTGGGGTGGGGGGTAGGGCACTAATTATATAAAATATATAACAAATATAGGTAGATGGTCCAAACCAAAAAAAAACCACCCACTATCATCAAGTAGATTCAGAGTCATAGAGATCCTATAGAACAGCATAGAACTTCTCTTGTGGGTTTCTGAGGCTACAACTCTTTAACAAGAGTAGAAAGCCTCATCTTTCTCCTGAGATGCAGCTGACCCTGTGGTTAGCAGCCCAACTTGTAAGCCAACTGTCAGTCACCAGGGCTCTTTATATAGATAATTATTCTTAGTGATTCAGATAGCTCTTAACCCTAGTACAGACAGAACTACCCAACTAGATTTGCTCAAACTCTATCTTTAGAAAGTAAAATGTTTTGAATGGAAAAATCTGTAGAAAATGTAAACTGAAAACAAAGCAAACACATTGCCAATGAATCAATTCTGACTCCTAGCAACTTTACAGGACAGAGCAAAACTGCCCAATGAGGTTTACAAGGCTGTAAATCTTGAGAGAAACACAGACTGGCACATCTTTCTCCCTTGGAGCCGATGGAGGGTTCAAACTGCCAACCTTTCAGTTAGCCAAACGCTTTCACCATAGAGTCCCTGGGACTTCCTTTTGGAAAAGCACTCTAAAACATAATTTATTAGGACCATTCTTTTGATCATACATGAAGACTGAGTACCCTATGAAGACCATCAGTCCCGGTTAGTACTTGTATGTCTAATACATGTTGCTCTTCATATGAAACAGTCAACTGCTACAAGTTTGGAGAGTATGGGTCAGTTAATCACTACTGAGTTAATGAATGAACAAGGACTGACAGCTGAAAACAACAAAAGCGCCAACACGTGGCCTCCTTTAAGGCCCAAGCTTTCTCTCTTTGCTTGGCTTTATTTCCTTGTCTGTCCCTTCCCATTTAACAAAATGTTCCAGGAACTCTCCCTCGGCCACTTACTCTCTGTATTCACATAACCAAAAATGCTGGGCTGCGTTATCATCTCATCCTCCACACTAAATCACAGACTGGTAAAGAGACCAGCAATGAGGCCCCTTCTTAGCTAAGACACTGCCAAAAACTCAGTGATGCACAGCTGGAGGAGAAATATAAGCAACAGAGAGCTAGGCCAGCTTTAATCTGCTCCTCTTCACAGCATCAACATTATTTTCTTATTGCTTCACACAACTGCTCTCAAATTGTGAGTCCATACATTCTAGTTCAAATGAAAAAAATATATATATCCATGAGCTACAGCACTAAACAAGTGTAAACACAGCCCCCAAACTTTCAATGTGATTTATTGAAAGTCATGTCAACCTAGAAAGAAACTGAAACACAAATCAGTAACAAAAAAGTTACTTACCTCTTCTTCCTTTTCCTAGATTCTCCACCCTGCTCCTCATCACTAAAATCCGAGTCGTAGCCTCCATGGCCATGCATCTGGAAAAGAGCAGAAAATTCACTGCTTGGAAATCTTAAGTTGTCGACTGTTCCGAAAACAGATTTATTCAAAAATAAGTTATCTTAAGTAGCCACAACCACTTTATTTTATTAATCATTTATCGAGCATATTTGTACATATGTTGCTATCATCATTTTCTAAACATTTACTTTCAATTTGAGCCCTTGGTCTCAGCTCCCCCCCCACACCCCCCATAACCCCTTGACAAATTATACATTATTTTCATATCTTACACCGACCGCTGTCTCCCTTCACCCACTTTTCTGTTGTTCATCCTCCGAGGTTGGGGTGGGGGGAGGATTATGCATCAATCATTACAATTGGTTCCCCCTTCCTCCCCTTCTCCCCACCTAAAAAGCCACAACCATTTTAGAGGATGGCTGTGGACAGGCTGCTTTCTGAGGGCTAACCAGGCATCAAAAACCTTCATTTTGAAATAACAGGTTTACCCTTCAACGAAGGCCTGTGTACCCTGATTACTTTTGATTTAAGTCAACAAGGGAGACTACCCTTTGACCTTTCTATTGAAAACTAGGTGTAATCACATATGATGCTCAGGAATATTTTACTTTCCACACAGTAGTAGCAGTTACCATGAATTTCTGACCAACTCTGTTCTAACCACTGTGCTAAGCACTCTCCAAAGACTTCAAATTCTGCAAGGTAGGAACCAGCATCTCTATTTTCCAGATAAGAAACACAGGGCGGCGGACAGGGATAGTGGCTGCACCCAATTGTGAATGCATCAAAAACCACACTGAATCATTCACTTTAAAATGGTTACGTTTGATTTGGGAATTGCACACACACCCTTACACACACACACACACACACACACACACACACACACACACAACAGGAGCAAAGGACAAATGGAATGATCAATTTCACATAACAAGTAGGTGGCTGAGCTGATCTACTTGATTCTAAAGTTTATGATTTCAACTGTTCCAAACTGCCTTTCTGAAATTACTAAAATTTTGTAGTGGTTACATTTTAGGCTGTGATCCGCCTGCTCACCAGCAGCTCCTTGGGAGAAAGACGGGGCTTTCCACTCCTGTAAACAGTTAGTCTCAGAAACCCACAGGGAAGTCACTAGGGGTCAGCACTGACTCGAGGGCAGTGAGTTTGGTTTTATGTCCCTTTAGGAGTCCTGACTGCGTAGAGGTTAAAGCACTCTGGTGCCAAACAAAAGATCAGCAGTTTGAAACCACCAGCTGCTCCAAGAGAGATGCGGTAATCTGCTTCGGTGGAGACTGACAGTTTGGAAAGCCCCCTAGGGAAGTTCTACTGCCCTATAGGGTCACTACGTTGGCATCAACTTGGTGGCGGTGGGTGTGTTCTGCATATATTATTAGACTTAGGTATCGTGAATAGCATTCTACTTGTTGATCAAAATAATCCTTTTGTTCAGAGCTTGTAAAGATTTCTGATTTGTTGAGCATAAGGTCGCTATCAGTCAGAATTGACTCGATGGCACCTAACAACAAAGATGTCTTATTTTTTTTTCTTAACCTTAAATTCTCTCAAGGTCAACTACTCTGCCCTTTGGTCTAGTCAGCTTTCTCTTGTTTCAATTTCATATAAAATTCTAAAAATGTTGGAAGACCTGCGGTAACACTTAAAAAAAAAATCATGGGTTATGTCAGAAGCAGCTCCTGGTTCAGCACTAACCTGCATTTGGGACAGACATTAGCAAGGGAGGGGTGGACTATTTGACCATTCAATGGAAACTCAAAAAGACTCAGAGCTTCAAAAGCAGTCAATTAAATTATTTTTAAAATCACCCTTGGGAAAAAGTCACACTTGGCAATGAGGGTTCCACCATTAACTCTTGACAACTTGGCACCAGTTATAAATATTAATTCATAAGACTGGCAGGAACCAGTCCAAAGAATATGTTCATATTTGTAAAACTTTACATCACTGTAACAAAGTACAGTCCCTTTCTAAACTGTAGGTCATTGGATCTACAGCAGAGGCTGTTTCTGGCTACTTGAGCAAGTCACTTCATCTCAGATGTCATCTGCTAAATAAGACGGTTATCCATTAAGACCTAAGTCAGTGGTTCTCAATCTTCCTAATGCCACGACCTAATACAGTTCCTCATGTGTGGTGACCCCCAACCATAACATTATTTTCATTGCTGCTTCATAACTGTAATTTTGCTACTGTAATGAATCATAATGTCAATATCTGATATGCAGGATGTATTTTCATTGTTAAAAAGTGAACATAGACATAAAGCATAGTGATTAGTCACAAAACAATGTAATTATATATTGTGAAATAGTTGTGTTTTCCGATGGTCTTAGGTGACCCCTGTGAAAGGGTCGTTTGACCCCCAAAGGGGGGCCACCGTGACCTATGTGATCTTTCCACAGTACCACTTTCCAAGAGAGGTGTGGTTGGTGATTGATTCCCTCTCTTCTCTGTCCCCCAGAATGATACAAAGAAGATTCCAGCCAAGGCTGGAGGTGATGGCTAAAAGGCCACTGGTTTACCACCTTAGATGACCCGTCACTGACTCTCATACACCTGACCCTCGTGACCTTTTATCATGAATTCACTGCTGCAGCTGTCTTCCCACATCTGTTCAAGTCATCGCTGTGCTCTTCTTAGTCCTTGGGCCACGGTGTTCGCATCCCAATGGGGGATAACCGTAATGTGGAGCTGAGAGATACGCCCTAATTTAAACCGAGGAGCCATACCTTTCATGGGTCTTGTTTTGGACATGTTCCTTAACCTCACTGAACGTGTTCCTCAATTAAATGAAGCTCATGTGAATACTAACCTCATAGGACTTGAGATCGAATCACTTACATACCAAAACAGCTGCCACCTAGTGCGGTCCGGCTCACAGAGACCCTCAAGAGGGTTTCTGAGACTGTGCATCTCCACGGGAGAAGGGCAGCCTCGTGTCTCTCCCAAGTGGTACACTGACCTTGTGGTGGTGGTGGGGGGGGAGCGCGAAGCACCCCCCAAACTCTCAACTTACTACCATCTAGTCCTTTCGGACCCACAGCGACTCATGGGGCAGATCAGAACGATCAGAGCGGGGGTTCCAAGGCTGTGCATCTTCGCAGAAGCCTCATCTTTCTCCGGAGGAGCTGCTGCTGGTTTCAAACTGACCTTGTGCTTCACAGCCCAACGTGAGCCCGACCCACTGCGCCACCAGGGTTCCCGAGGGATTTCGCTGCCCTTTAAATATGAATTACAGCGGGGCTTCAGAATGTTCGTGGGGGGGGGGGCCAATTTCATGAGAAGTGTAAGTTTCCACAAACTGTCATCCATCATCACGCTCCTCCACCTCCTCCTCCCTCTCCACTCCTTTTCTTTTTGCTCTCTGGTGGCTTCACCCATGTCACCACAGGGGCTGTACTAACAACCTGTCCCTTCTAGGCATCCATTGCCAAGGACTGACAAACAAAATCGAGAAGGCTGTCTCCAGAATCTGTCTTTTAAAGGGAGAGAATTGCCATCTAACAAGCAAGTTCCGAGGTCCTCCTCACGCCCCGCCCCGCCCCCTCCACACACACCCTTGCTCTTCCTCCCTGCGCCACCACGTTAGCCCCCCGAGGCGCCGTCTCCGCCGTCCTCCGCGAGCTGCAGCGACGACCCACGACCTCCGCGAGCTGCTGCAGGGCCCGCCCAGCCGAACCGAACCGGCAGCGCGGCCCGCGAAGGCCGCTGCCTCAGCCGCCGCCACCCGGCCGCTACGGGTCCCGACGGGCACCACTTCCGGGAGAGGCGGCGGGGTCGCGTGCAGCGCCGAATGCGTCCCGGTCGCAGGGCCGCGTGCATTGCCGAATGCGTCCCGGCTCGCGGGCCGGAAACGAGGCGGCGGCGGGAGAAGGGGGCCGCGCGCGGGCGGGGGCTCTGCTCTCCTGCGGCTGCGCGGCGTTTCCGTGCCGCTCCCCTCCTGTCAGCTCCGTCCCCGACCCCACGGGAAACGGCTTTTGCTGCGGAGTGACCCCCGCGGGCACAGCGCCAGTGTCCAGGCCTCTTTCGAGTAACCTTGGTGACTCTTCCTCCGAGGGGTCAGCGGCGGACCGGCCATCCCCGACGCTCAGTCCAGCCGTGCTCATAAGTAGAATAAAAAGCACTTTCTGTCGTTCCGCCGCCCCCACAAAAAGGTCACTGCAAGTGTCATGCCCGTGGCACGGACGCTAAGCGGGTGTGTGAGGGAAGGCAGACGGCCCTGAGCGGGACGGAGAGGAGAGCCCGCAGATTCTCTGCCGAGCAGGGACCCGGCTCGCCGGGAAGAGGTCCAACACGGCAAAGAAAAACATACAGGCAAGGAAAGTTCCATTATTTTACGCTCCGTCACGTTTCCGTCTTCTTTTTCCCCCTCGCTCCTGCACATCCTGGGGCCAGTGCCCAGGGCTCGCTCGGCTCCCCGCCCCCAGCTTCTGCTCCAGCCCCATCCGGCGCCGGGCGCCGGGCACCACGGCGCTCCCCCAAACAGACGCGGGGCTACCGGGTATCAGCAGGGCTCCGGCCCATCTTAGAGAAAACCTCGGCACAGTCCATCCTCATTGGACATCGTTTGCACGGCATGGTACATGACAATATGCTTTAGTCTCCAGGTTCGAGGCTCCCTCCTGTCCCTAACAGGAAATGAGGGGTGCATCCTGCTCTTACCCAACGCAGCCCATGCGGTCTGGGAGGGCTGTAAGGGAAGTTTGCCATCATTGGAAAGGGCCATCAGATTATATTGCTATTTAAAGCAATAGAAAGCCTCACAATGGAACATGATACAATACTGAATTAGGTTATTAAGCAGTTCATTTTTTTTTAGTTCTTTTATTATTAATGTAACTGAATACACTTGTCCCTGTTCTCCAATTTACTTTCTACCAATATTTCACATTTATCACATTTTCTGCTGGTTTTAGTGGACGCTCCTGTCTGCTGCCTCACCTTAGAACTTAGAGCAACCCTGTACTGCTGTTATCAGCGCCATTTGGCACTTGAGGAATCGAGGCATAGCATCCAAAGCCACAAACATGCTGATGGGAGTCTCGAATCCAGGGTGCTGACTTGTATCCTGAAAGTCTCAATTCTCAATCTCTCTCTCTCTTTTACTGGATTATATGGAAAGCAGCCCCCTGATTCCAACGTTACTAAAATTTCAGATCTGTTGCTATCAATCCAGACAGTCAAATACTTCCCTTTAGGGCAACAATAATGGAAGCAAATGAATACTAATTTACCAAAATGTTAGCGATAGAGTTCAAATCCATTAATACAGAATAGAAAATCTATCCCACCAGGAACCACCAGTTAGGAATTATAGCTCAACGATAAAAAGCTGCAGACATTAATTAAGTTTGACAGTCCTTACTAATGTTAAACATACACACTTCTCTTGTGTCTCACATATTTCTCTCCTTGATGTATACCCAACAGAGGAATGTACAACCAAAGGCCTGCACTACAATGCTGGTAATAGCACTGTTTGTAAATTAAAAACCTAGAAGCAACCCAAGTGTAGATCACCATTGTATTCTTGTTAGGTGCCTCTGGGTCAACTCTGAATGAGACACTGCCCAGTCCTGCACCATCTTGACCATCTTTTGTTATGTTTGAGACCATTGTGCAGCCATCTCCCTCTTTTTTGCTGTCCATTTACTTTGCTAAGCATGATGTGTCTTTCCAGGGACTAGATCCGGTAGTTCATGAAAATTAGAACAGATAAATAATTGTGAGCTCCTGTCTTGTTTTTGTGCATGTTATTATTTCCTCAGGTCTGTCTAGATAAGATAGGCTGGATAAACAAGCTGGAAGAGAAAACGGGACCGACGATTCCAGAGGGACATGGAAGAGGGGGAGTTGGGAGAAATGCAATGGTGTTAACAAACCCAGGGACAAAGGAACAACAAGTGATCCAAAATCAGTGGTGAGGAGGGTGTAGGAGGTCTGGTAGGGCTTGATCAAGGGAAATGTAACTGAGAGGAATTACTGAAACCCAA